AAAAGCAAAACAGAAAAAAACAAGACAAAACAGGATGTTTAGTAAAATATTGCTGAAGTTTAATTCCTTTGAACCCAATTTTTTGTATTTCCTGTCTAGAAAGGCTGGTTGTTACAACACTAGTTTTTAACAGTACTGATCTAACATTTCAACATTAAGAGTCTTTCAAGTAACACTCATGCCTCTTATTGTTCTGCCTTCATTTATCAACATTCATCATCTCTGGACTATTATTCATAAACTACTCAGCAAACCTTTTGTCCGATGAGTCTGCAGTATCACTTCCTCTTCCAACATGAGTTTAATACAAAACAGTGCTTTTTTTTCTTCTTTTATTAGTCAAACTTTGTTGATTACCATTGTGTATTTGGGCAGGCCACATCACCAACTTGATCAAACCAGACATGCTGGATTCAACTCTGACCCGTCTGGTCGCGCTCAACTCGATCTACTTCAAAGGCTCGTGGAAGTCGGGTTTCCAGCCCAACAACACTAAGATGGGGCCTTTCACTGGCGGTGATGGAAATGTATACAAAGTTCCAATGATGTCCCAGCTGTCCATCTTTAACTTAGGTGAGTGAGCATGCTCAGAAGCAGCTGGAGTTCATTATGAGAGGATGACATGCAAACACACCGTGAATGTGCCAAATTTATTTATTTATATATTTTTGTAAAAAGTCTCTATATTCCCGTTAACAATTAATCAGTTCCTAGCTTTGTTTCAAAAATTTATCATGATTAATCAGATTAATTGAAACATTAAATTATTTTGTTGATCTCAACTTGGAGTGAGAAAAAAGTGCCCTTTTATTTTTGAAGCCTGATCAGACACCTTGCAAGTATAAATGTTCACTTCAGATTTATTTAATTATGTTTTACTACATTAATATTATTCTTTTGGTGGAATGCCAGTCAGGATGTGATTCCAGATTGTGGTGTGTTGTAAAGAACTGCAGGCCAAGACGTGTCGCATGCACAGGATGTTTTTAGTTATGTGTGAAATGCAATGATGCACGAGTCAGTCAGCTATATTTAGACATGTCAGAGCTGTGGTGACACAGTGAGTGCGGGGGATAGATTCTCATCCAGCCACTGTAATAAACTGAGGCCATGTTCATTTGTAAAGCACAAGATTCCCTCATTTCTGCTGTAGATACAACATTCAGCACTTTTAGAGAGGTCCCCAGAACACCGGAGTCTTTACAACACCAAATATTTTATCAGCATTTGTTTTTATGGATTGTCAAAAACTATGAAGTCGAAGGAAAGCGTAGTTTATCCAATTAAAAAGAGGACACAAAAGACAGTTTATTTCCTAGCTATTTATATCTGCTTTTATAATATTAGAACCTCATTAAAAAAAAAGTTTGCAGTTTTGACTAATAAATCTGAGCTTGTGGCAAAAGCAAGCTAGTGTTGAGATTTTAATGCCCTTTTACGCCCAAATTAATATATCCTTTTAATTTTTGTTGCTTGAGATCCTGACATTTATATTTAAAAAAAAATCTCTAAGCACTGTATGGATACATTTCCCAGCTCTTGGTGGTTTTCTAAGTCATAAAGTTCAAGTATTTAAAATGTAAATTGTTATTCTCATCATAAATCATTGGAATCTCTTATTAGCCTAGTTCACAGTAGAAATATAATTCCTATTCTATAATCGTGAATATGGTTTAAAAAGTGAGGAGTGCAGGACTTTAGCAGAATTCAGAAAATCAGTTGGAGCAAAACTGGAAGTTTAACTTCAATAGCACTAACACCTGGGTTAATTTGTTGACCTGCTGTAGTTTGTCAAATGAACACAATAAATCAGATGCTGATTTCTTTTCAATTTCTGAACTTTTAAGCTGATCCTGTAAGTGAGAAAACTCACTACTTGCATATTTTAGGTAACCTTGTGGCGTTTGTTGAAGCGGAGGTTTTAAAGTTGAAAAAGTCAATTTTCACAAGAACACTGATGGATGCAATTCTCTGCTGGACAATCAGAGCTCCCATTTTTATAGCAGCTAGGATGATGATGTATGTAGGATGTATAATCCCAAAGCTGGCTGGAATGGGAGTCGGAACCAAAATTAATGGAAACAGATAAAGCTTCCTGACACTGGGAAATTTTGCAAGTTCAGTATATTAAATTGATTCACATTTTTTCCTCACTCCTCTTTGTTCCCTTTATTTATTTATTTTTTGACGACTTTATTTCTAACAATAAACATTTTTGATGCTTCTTAGATATGTGTCTTTTTATGACCATTTGTCCTCCACAAGTAAAACTTTTTTTAGCACCTTTCAAGATAAAAATCAAGTGCTACAGCAAACAGAAGAGAAAATGCACAAGACAAAATTAAATTGGAGATTTCAAGAGATTACATATTAAAAAAAAATAATTGAGCAATTTTTTGGCATTAAGATCAATTTATGAAATGGAAGTAAAAAGGAATTAAATGATCAAACTTGATTTTAGAAGTCAGTGAGGATGTAATTTTGATCCAGACCCATTTTAGTTTCTGGCAGATGTATGTTGGTCCATTCTTTCTGGTTAAATTGTTTTTTTTGTTGTTGTTTGTGTTTTTTGAAGAGATTCTATGCCGGAACTCTCTCAATTGATTGATTAAAGATTAATCGATCTGTGCTGTGGTAAAAGCCAGACAGTCTTTGGTCTTCTACTGGCCCACCAGTGAGTTATTTTTCGTTGACAAATTAATGCCCGTTTGAGCATAAAAATAAGAAAATTAAAGCAAAAGGTTGAAATTTTCCCTGGATATTTTAGTGGCATCCTTGCTGATTCAAATCTTGATTACCTCTTCAAGGCTTTTTAAAGCCGGCCTCTTGTGAAAAGAGTCTGTTCTTCCACATCATTCCCTCTTTTTAGTCCCCCAGTGTAACTTTGCTGGGATCTATGCCGCCAAGTTAATTTTGGATCTTTTTTCAGGTTCCTCCGTCTAATTTACGGATTCCACAGATTTTTCCCCTCAACCCCCTCTAATTTTACCTGCAAAAATCTTTTTAGGGTGCTAAATCAATGCAGATGTAAAGCGTGAGATAATTGCTCTTGATAATTTAGTTCCCTTCCTTTTAATTGCTAATATTCGACTGGAGAAAGCTTTATATTAAGTATAATAAACTAGTATTCTGTTTGTTTTTTGTAATCTCTTCACAAGCTAACTTCTAAACCTTCTTATGTTCTTAGGCATGGCCGCCACTCCTCAGGGGATCAAATACCAAGTGATTGAGCTGCCTTACCGTGGCAACACCATCAGCATGCTGATCGCCGTCCCCAACGATAACACGCCTCTGTCCAGCGTCATTCCACACATCAACACAGCCACTGTGCAGAGCTGGGTCAAGCTCATGCACATGAGGAAAGTCCGCATACTCATTCCAAAGTAAGTCTGAAACGTAAACAAACGCACCTGTAACTGTGGCTTTTGGTGACATGAACAACAACTGCATGGTTCTGTTTGCTTGTAGGTTTTCGGCAGATGCAGAGGTAGACTTGAAAGCTCCTCTCTCTGCATTGGGAATCGCAGACATGTTCAGTCAGTATGCAGCCGACTTCACACACCTCAGTGAGTGAAAGCCTGACAGTGACGCATACACACTAGTAGGATGAATGTGTTTGAAGCAGGTTCATTTAGGTATGAGTAAGTGTAAAAACCTGAGGAGAAATGTTGCCTAATCACTGTGGAGAGCCAGTAAGAAGTTGACATAGTTTCACTGCTCAGTGTGAAAACTGAATCAGGGTAGGCCTCGGGAAATGAAAGGTTCTAGTGCCATCATGTGGTGGTATAGGCAGATCTGCCCTTTAAGTTGTTGGGTTTTTTTTGTTTTTGTTTTTTTGTTTTTTTTTTTACAAAAAAGAGAGGTGGAAACTTTTGTTCTTGTGGCTTGAAGTAATTGTTTTACAGGAAGTCATTATTTTGAGGTAAGATGAACTGCTGTTGTGCTCCCAGGTACCAAGCCAGTATACGTATCCAAGGCTCTGCAGAAATCCAAAATCATTGTAAATGAAGAAGGGACGAAGGCAGCATCTTCCACCAGTAAGTATACCTGATTGGTGTTTTTTCTGACCAGACATAAATCTGTGTGGTTTACACCCAGTACTGGTTTAAACGCCGCACTAACCTGAGTTGTTGTGTGTGTTAAGCTGCTATCTTCATGGCTCGCTCCTCTCCCTCTTGGGTGACTGTGGACAGACCTTTCCTGTTCCTCATCAGACATAACCCAACAGGTTTGCAGTTTTATTCGCGAATCATAGATGAGTTCATTTTAGAATTGCATTGGCAGTATCTAATATTTGTGAACTGTCTATTTCTGTTTCCAGGAACCATCCTGTTTATGGGTCAGATCAACAAACCATGAAGCCCACCTTCAGTTCCTGTTAGCTCATCTAGCAGCACCTGATATGCTTACACACTGTCATGCATGAACACACAAGCACACAGATGTGCTGTGGTTGTTGACTTATGAACAATGTGGGCATACATTTGTCTTAAATATTGCTTTTTATGTTGATTTTTCTGCAACACATAACATGCATTCCAACATGTTTTTGCAGTCTAAGTTTTCCTGCTGTTTTAATTTTGTGGTGTACTTTTTTGGCTTTATCCCTTTTTTAAATGACTTTAAATGTCACATGTAATTTCTTAACTCTGGAGTATGACGATCTTTTTATTTATGGTGTCTTTGTTTCAGTTTAAACTTTTCTATCTCTAGTCATGTAACTCTGGTTTGCCTGTTTCCCTCTTTTGTTACAGTGATATCATCAAGACTTAAAGAGTGCATTATTGCCCTTTTTAAGTTATTTTCTCCTTACCGAGAAGATCTTCTGTTCCTTCACATGTGGAAACAAAATTAAACTGCATAAATTTATAACGTCAGTAATTTGTGACTTGCTGTTATTGTGGTTAAACATTTTAATTGGAGAAGGGTTTAATGATTATTTCTCTTGACTGTTTCTTGAGCAATGGTGTCAATTTATGCAAAAATATCAGACAAGACTAAACCTTAAAATGGTTGGATGATCAAATTGGGAATCGATCACATCTGTACTGAACCGAAGCACATTGACTAAGAAAAACTCGTTAGAGAAGCAGAAAAGAAAGCCGTGCTTCTCAAACATGAAGAAGCAAAGCATCCCTTATTCACTGAGAAAGCATTCCCACTGTAAACTCTTACTGCCTCTATTTCAGTATGATGGACCCACTTGAAGTAGTACAATCTCGTGTAAAAAGAAGAGAATTAATGGTTTCAAGCATTTTTTACAAGTATAAATTTGAAGTTTACCATTTGTATCCGGTTCCCTTTAACGCCTCTATGTCAACTTTCTTCAGAAGTCACTGAATTAGAAAATGAAATTAATTAATATAAATGTGTGTTAAACATAAGAAATGGAAAACTAGCAAATCATCCCGAACTGTTTCTTAAATAAAGAGGTGGCAGCAGAGAAGCTGATGAGAAGATAAATCCTATTTATGGGTGAGATCAGTCCTGGTAGGAGGAACCTGCCTTCAAAAGATTGCTTACCTATAAGTAAAGCAACCTGAACCATACAGCCTGAATACCATCAGACTGGTGTGAAGATATATAAATGTACAACACACTTTTCAGTTCAAAAACCTGCGTACATTGATTCCTTCCATTATGCATGCATTATGTTCTACTTTGTTTATCACAAAAACACTTAACATTGAGGTTGCAATGTAACAATATGTGACAACAGGCTTAAGGAAGGAAAACTTTTCAGCAAAACGCTGAACACTGAATTTTTCTAGTAAAGTCTGACAATCAGAGGTGCGGTTCTGGCAAGAAACTGTCAAATGTACCATATTTTGTTTCCCATGCTCAGTTTCTGGAGAAGAGTACTCAAATATAGATCCATTAAGCTTTGATCTACAGATATAAAGGTTTGATCATTATATGTTTTTTTTTGTTTGTAATGATGTAATCAGAGAAAAAAAAATGTCTGCAAATTCTGGTGATAAATTAATAAAAGTATATCTTCTTATAACATTAACAATGAGTATGTAAACATACATAGACAGCAAATTAAACCTGACCTGAAAATGAGGTTAGAAATTTGTCATGGTAACGCTTCAGTATGTGACAATTTACAACAACATAGCAAATAAAACACTGACCACATGTTATGTTGGTAAGTAACAGCATGTCAGTGAGTCAGATTGCTTTTACTGGAAAGTCTGGAAACTATCGTTAAAAAGTAGCTGATTTAGTCTATGCTCTATATCTTTTTTTTTTTTTTTTTTTTTTTTTTTTTTTTTTTTTTTTGCTACAAAATCCATGTGCTGAATTTTTTGTTTGTAGCCTTCCGGAGGCAATTACGGCAATCCGATTGCGCCCTCTAATGGTCTTTACGGTAAACCTGACAGGGGCGCTGGGTGTCAGCTGATCCTACTCTGCTGGCGAGTGAGGAGGAAAAAATCCTCTGAAGGAAAACAGTGGTAGCTAGGTAGGCGAACCATGGCTGCAGAAATTCATTCGAGGCCCCAGACCTCCAGACCAGTCCTCCTGAACAAGATCGAGGGACACTCGGACGCGGTTAACGCGGCCGTTTTAATCCCGAAGGAGGATGGAGTGATCACGGTCAGCGAGGACAGGTGAGTCCGAGGAGTCAAGCTAACAAGAGCTAGCGGGCTAGGTCTATTTACTGGTTATTAGTAAATGGACTTGGTGAAAGGAGGGGACTGAAACGGAGAAGGCAGCGTTATTGACGCCTCACTGAAACAGCTTTTGTTTGGGAATTGGATAAAGAGCTAACGCTTATCCTCAGTTTAGCTTTGGCGCTAAATAGCAACCGGTTTGTGTTCGTCGCTTTTAAAACAGTTTGAACAAAGATAGTGACATTTGGAAAGCTGGCTGTAAAGCTGGCTGTAAATATAAACCCTCCAAACGGTCTTCTGCATCTGGTTTTTATGATTTAAAGAGCAAAAATATTTTTGCATAAAAATGTGTAGTAAAATTATATTATGGCAAAACAAACTGATGGGCATCACATTGCATATTTGCAATGCTAGTTGATGGTCACAACATTTACAGCTCAGTTCATGTACTGAGCTGAAAACGAACGTCGCACTCTCCTGATCAGCACCTGAATGCATCACGGTAACAAAAACTCACCGCTTGGTCTCACTTTGACCCGACCTACATAATCTTAGCAGGGTAGATTTTTCTGTGGATTAGTCTGAGAAACTGTCACACTTGATTACAAACAGTAAAGGAAGCAAAACCTCCTCCTTTCAAAACATTAACGTCACACACCAAACCCTCTTGATCAGTAGGAAAAAAGGAGAAGTAGTGGCATGGCCGTGCAGCAGGTTGCTTGATGAAATTGGTTTTGACTGCTGCTGCTTTAGATAAGACAACGACATCACTGGCTTTAGTTGTTTTTGTTGTCTTGGAAGAACCAGGACATTTTCAAAGAAAATAAGGATGGATTCCAGCCAAAGTCCAGACTTAACACCACAGAGAATCTATGAGAAGAATGTCTCAGCAAACTGATATGCCCAGATATTCTTCAGATAAAAGATGAGCTTTTTTCAGCTGTAGATTAGCAAAGCTGAACATTCTCAGAAAGACTCACTGCAGTAGTTGTTGTAAAAAGTGGTTCTCTGGGGATTTCAGTCTTAAATTTTTCTATTCTTGCTGTGCATGTTTTGTCTTGGGTCTCAGCAGATTGGGTCTGCTGGGTCTCAAACTGATCTGTTTCTGCACATTTTGCCTTCAGAACCATCCGAGTGTGGCTGAAAAGGGACAGTGGTCAGTACTGGCCAAGCATCTACCACACAGTGTCCTGTAAGTTTTACTGAGAGAAACAACGGATTAGGCTTATGAATGCATGTGGAAGCAAAACATCACTGCAACTATTTCCCTCCTCAATGCTCATGTCTGCTCCTTTATCCCCGCAGCTCCTTGCTCTTGCATGTCATACCACCATGACAGCAGACGCATCTTCATTGGTCAGGACAATGGAGCAGTTGTGGTGAGTGAGCTCAAACTCTATTGGGGAAGTGGAGGACAATGTTGTTGGAATTTAAATGTTTCTTTGCTGACAGTTTTTATTCCTTTGTGCTTGTTCTTGTAGGAATTTCTCATCTCTGAAGATTTCAACAAAATGAACCACGTTAAAACATACCCAGGTGAGGACAGAAAAAAAAGTTAGGCTCATTGTGACTGAAGAAAATAAAAAAGATGTCAATGAGCCTAATTGAGAAGTTAAACAAAATGAATCCAGGGATTTTTGTTGAGTGATTATTCTACATATCAGATTCATTTCACCTCTTATGCTGGCAGCATGTTGGAGTTTCTCTGTTCAGTTTTTTTTGGACCACTATTCGCTCTGGTTTTGAATGCTGTGCAGCTGGAAAGATTTTTGCTGTACTTTTGAACAGTTGATGCTCAACTATGGCGACGAGGTATTGTTGTTACAACTGACATCAGATCATTAGTAGCATCTCAGAAGTTCCAATAACACCTTAACTATAACTCACAAAATCAGAGTAGTTGAAAGGGAGGCTTCATGGATACAGAGAGAGAAGGAGGAGGTTCAACCCTGAACACCAACTTCTGTCAGCTTTGGAACCAAACGGCCAGACGTAGATTTAAAGAGTGGCAAAAGCAAATGAGGTAGATTAGAATGGTTTCATTCAGAAATATGATTTCTGCTGCCTGAATATTGAGCTGTTGGCATGTCATGGCAGTCATGGGACCGTCATACAGCAACTCTGACTATTTGAAGATACTTAGATGATGCGAGACACAACCCCATTAATTTTTCCTTTGGGATGAATAAAGTATTTTTGACTTTTAATTTAAAGCCTTAAAGGTAAAAATCTGATTTTAGAAAGTCATGCATGTCATGAATAACTCTTACCAGCAACAAATAAATTAACATTTTACTGCAGTAGCATTAAATACGCAAAATTCCTCCTTTAATTTGAAAACATTTATCCAGTAAACCTAAGAGTTTAAGTTGTGTAAGTATTAAGATTCTCACTGATTCTCATTTAGTTTCCACACAATGCCTGTTTTTTTGAGATTGGAAATATCTAAAATTAGTTTTACTCAGAAGCCTGGAAAACACATAAAGGGATGTTCAGGGTTGGCTTTGTTGTGTGAAGCAGTTTAATCTTTTGTCCTAAAATGTGTCATTTAAAGTCATTTTAAAGTTCTCCAAACATATTTTCTCTGCCTGACAGAAGTGACTCTTTCCACGTAGAAGGTTTTCTCGTATTCTTTGCATAATGGGTTAATGGGTTGAAGTTATTGACGTTTTTTTAACTTATTGAAATATCCAAGTAAAATTCCAATAATACAACATAATTTAATGTAAAAGTGCTGCTTTCTTTTGACATTTGAGGCATTTACATTACCCTACCTGTGAAGAAATTATAAACCAAGCACGTTATCGTCATTTATTCCACTTTCTTCTCTAGATCATTGCTCCTGTGAGCTGATTTATTTAGAAATCCCAGTTTGAAGGTCATTCTGTTCTTGTCACAACTTCTGACAAGCCCAAGCAGCAAAATCCGCATGACTCACAGTGAGATTAGATAAGATGCGGTATGTGGCTATGCCTACTAATATTTGAACACACATCTGGTGGCTTTTTATTGACAAGCTGTCATTTTAATTCAATGGAGACAAAAAGAGGATCCACCAACAGATTTTAGACTAAAATCAGACAAGTTTGGAGATTAAATGTCCTGCCTGTGCGTCTCTGCTGAATATCTGGACAGTATTGTAAGTCCTGTCCAATAAAAAATATCTCACGTAGGTAATAGAAGCACAGCCTCTAGATATAACAGCTAATTATTAATCTAGGAAAGTTTGACAACTCCCTTCTTTGCTTTGCTGATGAAGTGCAATGGCGTGTTTAAAGATAAACAGTATGTTACACTTCATGTTCCTTTGTAATTGCTGTTAAAATGTGATATTTTTAACAGCTAGTGAATTAGCTTTCACTAGCTCACAAAAAGTGCGTATTTGCAGAGTTTTGGTTTGAAAACAGCTTTCAATATTGGCTGCAAACTGTTCTGAAGTTTTCACCTCTGGATAAATCCAGATTTCCAAGCACTGAGCACACATTAGTCATGAAACCTCAACTTAAGCTGGTACATCTGGGTTTGATTTTCTTGAATGATTAAATGCTTAATCATAATTTCTAAGATGATACATTTAGAGTCCACTGGGTTTACGTTCTTGTTTATTAGAATTTATGTAGGTCTTAATTTTAAATATTTATGATCTTGAGCATGAATTTTATTCCTATAAAATGCTGAAATGCTCCTCGTATAATAGAAATAATATAAAATGGTTGAATGAGCTTTATTTAATCGGTTAGTGAAACTTAACTTTTTCTACAATAAACTAAGCATGCAGTGTTGTAATAAAAGTAAACTTGTTGGAACATTATCTGAAAATCTCGACTAGAAAACAAACAATATAGTCTATCAGGAAGAACAGAATATGGGCCACTCTTTCTTAACAGTTTTTGAAAAATTGGCGCAGCAAAGTTTGCTGTATAACAAAAGTATCCGTTTATGTGGTGATTGTAAGTCCAGTCCAATAAATTATTTTTTTGCAAAGGCAAGAGCTGATGTAGGCATCATAGTAGAGTGCCATTGTGTTTAAATTTAGTTGGAAGAGTGATTGCACAATATACAGTTGGGTGTATTCTAGAAGATGTTCTACATTATTACCTGACTTTGGTATTGGTCAATATGTAAGTCTGGCAAACTGGGTTCAACTTGAAGGGAATCCAAAGATCAAGAACAATGAACATACCAAATAGTCAGGAGACAGGAGCACAGCAACACGATACAGACTGCTACAGGAGGTTTTTCTGAACATAACTGTTGGCATCTACAACTCTTTGAAGAAATTCATCAAATGCCAGTTATAACATTTATTTTCCTTCAGGGGATTCTACAGTATTTTTTGAATTGAATCGAAATCTTTTATCTGTTTAGTACTTATATGTTCATTCTTATCCTGTAGCCCACCAGAACCGTGTGTCAGGTATGGTATTCTCCCTGGAGAGCGAGTGGGTGGTGAGCACAGGCCATGACAAGAGCGTCAGCTGGATGTGCACCCAGAGCGGCAGCATGTTGGGGAGACACTACTTCACCTCATGGGCCTCCTGCCTACAGTATCCTTCCATCACACGCTCTATGTGATGTGTAAGCCATAATAAAACGTAGCGCTCGTTCTGCCCTGACTTCTCGCTCAGATACGATCACGAGACGCAGCACGCCTTCATCGGTGATTACTCCGGACAGATCACTTTGCTGAAATTGGAGAAGCAGACGTACTCCACTATCACAACTCTGAAGGGCCACGAAGGTAAAGAAACAGGTTCATTAAAGGTGAATCATTGGGCATTGAAACAGTTGCCCCAGTAGTTGTAATGATGAAACATTTTCTTAATACATTAAAACATAATACTACAAATCAACTTTTAGCTCCTTCTGTGGATTTCAAATTAAATGTTAAATGATGGAAATGTAATTGTTTCCAAATATTCAAAGATTGAAAGACATGTTCATAGTCTAAATGTTACAGCTTTGATGAGAAAATGTTTATTTTGGTGGTTAAAGACTTCAGTCAACTTAGATTCTCAGCACTGCTACACTGCAAAAAGGTATGCAGGGTGTGGGAGGACTGATAAAAAGTAAAGAAAAAAATCTCTAACTGCTTCAACTTCACCTCAGGTCAGTAGTATGAAGGTTAAAAACTTAAAGGCCTGGCTGTGTTTCACAGTGAACAGAGCAGACAAGGCAGCGAAATGACCTGACCTCAACTCCATTTCAAAGCTCTGATTTATAGCTGGTAAGGTTCAGTTCAATTTAACTCTTCTGCCATGAACACTGGGCAAATATCCAGCCACAGTTTTCTCAGAACCTGGGTTAAGACTGAAAGAAATCAGTGATTTAAAACTGCAGCACATATATAATCATTCCAGAGTTTAAAAAAATTACTAATCATCTGAAATTATTGACATGTAGGGCTCTGATTGTTATTTACAACTTTATAATACTCTCATTTGTATTTGTAATGCATCAAAGTAAAGGTGCAGTTTATTCTAATCTCAAATCCTTTTTTAATATTTTAAAATATTAAGAACACACTTTTCACAAGCATTTTTTCTGTTTTAATGCATACAAAGATGTGTTTCTAAAACAACAAAAAGGGCTGAAATACAGTAATAGTCAGTAGTTTTCAAAAACCTTGAGGACATCGTAGGAAAATTCAGATCAGCTCATAAAATTTGGCTTCTGTAGAAACATTGCATTGTAATTAAATGCTTCTATTTAAAAATTGCAAGAATTTTTTAAAAAGCGGACGCTGGAAAGTCTCGTATTCTAAATGAACTGTGTAGCAAACCCTGAATTATTTATTTAAAGTTACCGTGGTCCACACCATAGAGCTTTTTTTTGCCTCTCATTGTGACTTGAATCAAGAAAAATGCTGAACAATGGGCCGTTCCTCATGAGGCTATTTAAAGACTAAACTGAGCTGCTTGGAAAGATTAAGGAAGTGAGACACAGATTCAGTAATAAAACTAATGCAGTTGGATTAATGAATCTAGTTGTTGTATTGAATATAAAAAAGGCAAATTTAATAATCCAGCTGCAGTGTGTATCCATGATCCAACACAAAAAGCAACAAGTTGGTTGGGATGACGTGTAAAAGCTGGAAAAGCCACAGCAAAAGGAAAGAAAGACAAATCTGTTCCACTCACCAAAGTTTGACAAAACCTTTGCAGTCTTCCATAAGGAATGGAGTCTGCATACATTATGTCGGACATTAAACTGAGTTGCCAAATCTTAATGGAGAACAAGAAGCACCCCCACCCACTCAAGTACAGATTCCTTTTTGGACGAGAATGATGGAAAATACTATCAGACGTGCTGCTCTGCAAACTCCCACAGCAGCCTGTTTTCAGCTTCGATCTGGCCACCGTACCGTTCTCATGCTCATCAAGCTGCTCAGTGACCATTCCATCTCTTCAGATGGGGACTGTTGTCACTGTGGAAAATTGTCCCTCATCCAGATAAATAGGCGTAATAAAGAACAAACGCATGACTCAGATGAGATTTTGTTCTGGGTTCTTGTGACAAGTGGGAATAAATGGGCGACCAGGATGTTTCGCTGTGTGAAACCGACACATCCGAGAGTTCTGGTCCAGCTTGGATCAAACATGAGCTTGTTAAAAAGCAGAGGCCTGACTCATGTGACCAGATGAAAGTCTAATATTGTCAGAAAGCTGATTCTTACCACAGCCATATTGCCCACTCTTCAGTCAGATGGACTCTCATGTTCCCATGTGCTCCGATGACACAAAACTGTCCCAGTGTTAAGCCTCCGTCTCTTCATCCGATCCAGACATGTGCTTTGATGTCTCTGATAATGCATGCTGATTGGACAGCTGCTGATTTAATTGAATGAGCTGAGTTCAGAGCTCAAGCTGTACACACACTCCGCAACAAATATTTAATAGAAATTGTGAGGCTGGCAAAATATATGGAAAGTTTAAACCTGATGTCTGTTGTCTCCCTGAACCTTTAGGTTTTTTTTTTGTTGTTGTTGTTTCATGGTGGTTCATTTCTGTAGGAGTTAAAATGTTGCCTCTAAAATGTTTAATGCTAATTATGCAGCCCCTCCAGGAAGTTGTAATCACAACTATTAATACAAATTCAGTCATCAACTTTACAGCAAATCTGACCAACCACCTTAATGTTTTCTATATTTTCTCCTTTTCTTGCCAATCGAAATGCTTTTTTTGTGAGGATCTTGTAAGGATTTGCTTCTACTGTATACACAATAGTGGGCGTAGCTGACACAGTTTCTGTATCTGTGCCCTCTTTCAGCTGTTACATGCAGATAATGTTACCTAAATAATGGTTGGTTAATCCATGCCAGTGTATCATATTGAGCTTGTTAACAAGAATAGTCATGTCGTTTTTGCCTACTTTTCATTCCTTGCTATTTAGTTAATGCCTAATTAAACCCAATCCTGTTTAATTTCTGTAGAGAAGTTGTACCCACTGTTGCTTTCCTTGTATTTAAAATAAATCTTTATTGTCACAATAGAAAGAGCAGAGAGTCAGGGAGGAGACTTTAGACCAGAGGCCAGCAACAGGATGATGATGCAGGGTCTTCTCAGGTAAGGAGGGATTAGAACTTGATGAGAAAAGGGGAAGGAAAAGTACAGCAATTTCAACTGTTCTGCAAGACCAGGATTTGTCAAAACAAAGCTTTAAAAGTTTACAACTCTGACTGCAACGTTTAAGAAAAAAAAAAGTTGCTGCAAAGTCCATAATTTTAGGTTGCATTAATCACAATACAAACATCGCAGCATCCTGGAGGGACTGATTATGGACTAAAAATATGAAACAACTGGTGAGACTGTCAGAAAAACTCCACCTCGAAGATATTTGTACTGCTTTTTTGTTTTATTGTGTACAGCTGACAGCTTACTTCAACTCCTCTCATATTAAGTAATTTCCCCAGCTTCCTCTAAAACCGAAACATTACCCTAGGCACTATGCAGTGATGCTTTGAAAAGCAGCTGGATCACAGGATCATTTCTGCCATGCAAATCAGACCACCAGCCACAGGCTGCTTCTCATCATAAGACTGCTGCAAGAGTTGAAGAGTCTTGATCATCTCTGATGAACTATTTATGAATAGCCGGTCCTTTGCTTTGATAGGAGCTGCTTGCAGTTCTCCCAGTAGACACTGGGTGGTGCCAGCGTGTCAGATCATAAATCCTTTTCTGAATAATGTTCTGGAAACCAATGGAAGCCATGTAACATTACATGTTAACGTTTTGCAGGTAGTATAGGATCCTTGTGGTGGGACCCTGTCCAGCGGCTGCTTTTTTCAGGGGCCTCAGACCACAGCATCATCATGTGGGACATCGGGGGCCGCAAGGGACGGACACTTCTCCTGCAGGGACATCAGTAAGTTCCTCTGTAGTCTGCACAAGTTCATTAGGTTTGAATCTTCTTTGGATCTGCAAAGGGTGGCCATAGAAATGCTGGTCTGTGATCCAGACTGTAAAAAAAGAAAACTCACCTGTACTTCTCTGGTTTCATCATTTCTTTGATGAGGTTTTACGATTACAGAGTCTGTAACACTAATATCTTCAAAGGCGAATCCCCTCAGAGTCGGTAACTGTTGTCTCCAGGGACTGACTTATTTTTGTTTTTGTATCTCAGTCCTCATAAATATTTCATCACCTCCCTGCCTGCCTGTCTGTTATAGACATTATCACACAAGCCTGTCAGCACTGATGAACACAGAGGAAAAGGCCATGGTGAATTCTGACATTCTGCAGCAGGATTTGCAGATAGTTTGGTCAAAGATAAAAGTTAGATGAGTAATTTCTGCAGAAATATGTTTTATCTGTAAATTAATGTAATGTTTGTCCTTTTTCTGTTATTTAATTTTTGACATTGCATTCTAAAATGTTGCCAGTAGATGTCAGTAAATTCTTCAAATGATGGGCTTAGTCTATTTTTAACTGTTGAGTTGATTTGCATAATGTGCCATTTTAAGGTTCCATAAAGCATGTATGTTTCAGGTTTTGTGTGAAATGAGCAGTAATCTATTAATCAGCTTGTAGGGATATTGGATGTGTCTTTGCTTTTACATGCGCATAATTTAAGGTAACTCATCCATCAAAGTGGGGAATATGAGAATGTCTGTTTCTTTGGAAGCCCACAAACAACAATTTTCTTGGGATTTTATGAAATTGACTAACACAAAGTAGTTGAATACAGAAATAGAAGGAGAATGACATTGCTTTTGACATTTGCATGTCATGATTTTCAGTTCTTCAAAATGAGTAAATATTTTGTAAAGCCACCTTTTAATCCTTAAAGAACAGTTATGTTAAAAGTGGACATCACACTTCTCTGATTTATTTATTTTACTTTTGCAGCTATGTATGTATGCCTTACCTTTCACTACTTTGTGTTGGCCTCTCACATAACATCCCATCAAAGCACATATGAAGTTTGTGTTTGTATTAGGACAAAATCTGACTGTATATTTTTTGTGAGCCACTATACGCCCACTTTAAAACCTTGAAATGATGTGAATCAACGGTAGAAAATAATCCAGTCTCCGTCTCCCTCAGTGAGCGCGTGCAGGCGCTGCGTTATCTCCAGTTCACAAGGCAGCTGCTGTCGTGCTCAGCCGATGGAGGCATTGCAGTGTGGAACATGGACACACAGAGAGAGGAGGTTTGCATCACTGTTGCAGCACTGACAATTATCATTTTCATGATTTGAGGAAATGTTAATTTTTTGTGTTTAATGCTTAGACTTATTGTGCACGTGTCTGTGTAGGCGCCTCAGTGGTTAGACAGTGACTCCTGTCAGAAATGTGAGCAGCCTTTTTTCTGGAACATCAAGCAGATGTGGGACACAAAGACCTTGGGACTCAGACAGGTACCAACCACACTGTCTCACAGAGGACAGGAGGCTCCAGTCACCGTCATAAATCCTGGTGATGCCAACGTGTTTGTTGTGTGTGTGTGTGTTTGTTGTGTACAGCACCACTGCAGGAAATGTGGGAAGGCTGTGTGTGGGAAATGCAGCTCGAAACGCTCCACCTTCCCGATCATGGGCTTTGAGTTCCCGGTGCGAGTGTGCGACGCCTGCTTCGATACCATCAAAGAAGAAGAGTAGGCATAGGCTTTCTCTGAATGTGTTTGTGTTTTTATTCTGTGCGACCGTGATTAAAAACGCTGTCATCGTGTGTTTGTGTGTGTGTGTGTGTGTGTGCGTGCGTGCGTGCGTGCGTGCGTGCAGCCGAACACCGTTGGCCACGTTCCACGAGGGGAAACACAACATCGCCCACATGGACATGGACCCATCCAGAGGCCTGATGGTCACTTGTGGAAGCGACCGCATTGTTAAGGTCAACAACAGAGCTTTGATACCAGATGATTCATGCGTGTTGTGGCTCTGTTTGGAACAGAGGGCCTTTGAGCCGACACTGAAGCTAAAACTAAAACTCATCCCAAGCTTTAGGAAGTTAGATGTAGAAATGAGAATTCAAGAGTTTACACAGGTTAGAATTAAGTAATCTCTGGACCAAGATGGAAATTATACTAAATTATGAACTCACCTTCTTAAAGGTGCAGTATGTAACTTTTCTAAAGAAATGTCAATTATTCTCATATATGTGCTGCTCAATGTGCTAATGGAGGAGAAATAACTTACCTTCGAAATGTAACCAAAGTTCTATTTGGATCACTTTTACATTTTAAAAATGTTGAACCATTTATTACTGCAGAAAATTGTCCTTCTACATTTAAGCCAGGGGATTTAGGCACCCATTATTAAACTTGTAATGAAAATATTTAAGTTAACTGAGCATCAATTTACCTGCAAACACTCCCCAAGAAATACAACTAGACTAAATAATTACTTTTCCACTTCCAACCAGTGTGGACTGGATCTATAAAATGACAATAATTCTACGCATCTTGATACAAGTTGTTATACAGACACACATCACCTGCTACACTTAAATCCATCAACTATTCAAGTTTATCCAGCTTGGAGTTGAAAAATATGCCTAATAGTGATAATCAGGCCAATATGCTCAGTTGCTTAATAATTGTGAATGCAGTGTTGTTTTGTTATCTCTGCATCACGCTCATGGTTTTTCTGTTTAATTGGGATTATTGTCTCAGTAATGAATCCAAACAATGATCATGTCTCGCTTTCGCTTTCCTGACACTAATGATGTCCATCTCCACAGATCTGGGACATGACACAGGTGGTTGGCAGTAGCTTAGCAACAGGTTTTTCCCCTCGCTGATTGGCCCAGCCCTCTACATGGTACCCTCGCCTGCCTCAAGCCCTCCCCCACGCTCTCAGTGTCATGGAAACCCCTCTGTACAACCCACCTCGCCTTCACGCCTGGGGTCCGCCGCTCCAGCCAGGCCTGCTCTGGGTGAACGTGTGTGAGCCCCTCCACATCTCTTCGTCTTCTTGCAACATATTTTGCTACCTGTCAGTCTGACTGATTCAGACTGTTGCTCTGATCTCAAACTGAACCCTAAGCACAATGAAAGATGGATGTGTGTGCGCGTGCATGTGTGTTCTGTTTTCTTCTGGGGGAGGAACGGTATTGCTTTAGTGTTTACACTGAATATATTGATCCTTTTTTCTTTTTTTGGGGGATAAAAGTATTTTTTTTATTATTATGATGGCACCATAAAGCTAGTGTTCACCATTGCAGACCTGCCATAGCTGTAAATATGAGCTCCCGCTACCTGCTTAATCCCAGGCTACTTTACAGAAATATTCACCTGTAAATTCTTCTCCTTTCTGCGTATAGTGGATGCTTAAAATGTTTTCTGATTTCTTTTTCACTAGCTGGCCTTAAGTCACTATCTCAGGAGCTTTTCCCATCAGTAAATTGTCACCGGTTGGACTTGGATGGTGTCAGTCGTAATGGTTCCTAAACTTTAATCTGAAGAAAGTTACTAAAACGGCCTCCTGATGGGTTAAGGGTCGTCGGTGATGTAGTTGTCAGATGTTTGCTAGGCAGCAGCTAACCCACCCTCCACCTTTTGGGAGGTGATGATTGGTTTCTGTAGTAACCAGCAAAGTCAGCAGCAGCATTGGATTGCAGGTATGCACTCAAGCTTGTGGGGTTACCTTTAGAGATCATGATTTCTCAGTTTTAGGATGTTAAAGTGCAAATTTTTCTCACAGGTGGAGGTGAATCAGACAAACAGCGAATTGAGGTTGTGGATGAGTTGGCCAGACTAACTGCATCCCCAGCTGCTGAGATGTTGACTTGTTCCTGGTCACATCTAGATTCCTGTAAAGGCCTTAAAAATAAAGATGACCCACTAAAAGCCTTCTGAGCAGTTCTTCAGCTCGTACGACTGTTCATTTTCACCATCCCTACTCAGTTGTTCCCTCCTCACACACATTTGTGCATCAGAGATGTCTCTTTGCACTGAATTGAACAAGTCAATCTTTGTGATCCACCCCATTTGTACGTTTGGATGCAGGAGTGCAGTTTTCCTGTGAATAGCAGCTGGAATCATCTAATTTCAGACTAAAACTTGCCTTATTTGTAAGTGGAAGACGATAAGAAACATTCTGCTGGAGTGGATTCATATTCTAGTTTTTGGGATCGGTGGTGTATATTTATATTTTCAGTAAAATATAATATGTGTATCCTCTGTAGGTTTTTGTTTTCTGTGCCCACATGACATCTTGATTCCCATGTAACGCGTTAAAACCGGTTCCTCCCTCACTTCCAAAGCGCATCATGCAGACTTGGTGTAAAGATGAGCCTGGTCATCAAATCCTGTCAGCTGTTTCATGTGAACGTGGATGGGATGGTTTTGTTAATAAAGTGACAGCAGAAGCTTGATCAGTTAATGCTTAGGTGTTTCATGGTATTATTGAGTTATCCTGACACTACCGTGTTTTTTTTTTTTGTTTGTTTGTTTGATTTGTTCTTTCACTTTTATTTTTTTAAATGTGAACAAACTTCCAGATCATCTGTATGTCTTTCATACCATTGGTGGAAATTGGGTTTTGAGGATGAGACGTGTCTTAAAACTAATTTGCATGATGTATTTATTATTGTAGCCACTGTTGATAGTAAAGTGGCAGGTACCAATTTTAATACAGTCTAAAATTGACAAGATTATATTTTTCTTCTTCTTCCTTGAGCATACTAATGGCCAAATTTTTCCTCAAAGCTAAAGTAGGTAGTATCTTATCTGTTGGTTTATTCATTTAATATAAATCCAAATCAGATGGTCCTGGTTAAAACTAATGGCTTGTTCAAGAGTTTATGACATCAAACATCTTTAAATATTATCTCAAAAACACCTGTTTTTAATGTTTGCTTTAATGATGATCGGATCATCATTAAAAGGTTCATGGAGGTAGAAACTCCAATGATGTTCCTGTTTGAAACAGATTCAGACAAGTAGTTTATCTGTCACTGATCAGAGTCAGTGACAGACAAAATAAAATTCTGTAGCTATATGTTATATATTCTTATATAGAACTGAATTGTGTGTAAAACATGACATTCGGGGAATTGGAGATGTTTTGAGATGGTAGAAGTCTGGTCTTTGTTCCTCTCTGACTTGCCATTAGCTTCAGCCTCTCAGAGCAACTAATCTGAATTAAGATTAAATGAGTGTGGCAAGAGAGTTGCACTCTGCAAGTAAGATATTATTTATTAATAACAAGACCTCACTTCAAAGTTCTTCAGCTCCCCTTCAAAGGACACTGAAGACTTTCACCTGTTGAACCCTTTTATCTGCCACATGCTGAAGGGGAATTGCATTAGGTTTTCATAAAGACAGCACTGTGCTACTCCAAAAATATATATATATACAAATATATTTACATATATATTTATACACCCACAGAACAATCAGTGGAGTTTATAAATGGTGAACTTGTGGATGTGAAGTTAAAGAAAGAACTCTAAATGATCCATCTTTGAGTAGAAACTAAGATCTACAGTTTAATCTCTGCCTCACATCAGTCATTTCATCCATTATTAATCATTGCATTGACTGAGGTAGACTTAAAATGCTCCTTCATGTCTTAAAGACTTAATGTGTCTTAAGCTCCTTCCACTCATGCAGAATCTGTATTCAGAACTTGTGAAAGGATCTGTTACCTCATTTCATGAAGCATCAGAAGAGGCTCCTCATAGAGCACAATGAAGGATCATTAGCAAAGCTACGGTACAATCTGGAGCCTGAAAAACCTTTCAGTCATTACTTATCGGGTCCTTGGCAGATGTGTGGGATGTTAAAGGAATGATAGATGCTGAGATTTGCTGTTTGCGGAAATAGCTCAAGGAATAGATCTTGAGATTGTGCGTCGCAGGAAGGAAGCAGTGGATTTAGTCACGTTATCACTAGTTTATGACCTCTGTCACATAATGGAAGTCACCTCTCGCATCATCTTTAGCACAAGAATAGTATTATTCTTTCTTTTTTTCCCTCCACAATTCATAAAATGTAACATAATTCTCTCTTGAAGCTACTTGTAATTGATACTTGCCATTCCAACAAGGTTGTGGTTAATGTACATCTGCAAATAACTGTATTTTTAAATGCTTTTGTTGATATTTCAGAACTGACTTGGGTCTCCATGTGCCCTGAAAGCAGAGCACTGAAGAGCATAAACCACACTTAATAAAGATATTTGATATGTTTGACTGCTGTTTGTTTTGTTTGTTTGTTTTTTTTTATTAGTAAAAATCCAATCAAAACAGCAACACACAAAACGTTTTGTAAGTTTGTTTTATTGACGCATGAGTTAACAGAAAAGTTATAGGAAGGGCAAAAAGGTTTTTCAAAGGTGCTGATATCAAGTCACAGGTTTGTAAATATGTTGCACATGTCAAGCGATGCTGCTGCGCTGTTTGTGAGAACGCTTCACTTTTACTGGGTTCACCTTGCACTGTACAGTAGCTCCACAACACAACACGGCACACACACGGGTTACTTACAGGGGTGTTAGATGCACATCACTGGACACGCGTGTGAGTCAGAAACACCAGCATGACGCTGAACCCATGACTGGTGAGCGAACACATAAACGTGACCGTGGCCATATCAGATTCCCATCTGATTGACATTAATAAAGTCACAGTTATAATTGTTTGAACTTCAATCATCGCTCTCAGCTGCAGATATGAAAGCAGCATCACTGTCAAACATTTCTGCACTATAAAATATAAAGTCCTGAAAAAAGCTAACCTTACAAATAGTTATAAAGCGTTACCGATCTGCAGTCCCTCGGTTATTTCTAAATTTAGTCTGCTACTGTTAGGCTGGGTTTCCAAAACTGTCCTTAGCACTTTACAGATCTCTTTTTTTTATATCCCACATCAACTGATACCAACAGGGGTGCTTTGGATAAAGTAGATGTGCTTCCTGTCCAGCCTCGACCAATAGGAGCTGATGGTGTTAGTGGCACTGGTCTCTCTGGGTTGGTTCTGGCTCAGTGGGGCTGAAACGTCTTGGCCAGATCCTCCAGGAGCACCATGAGCTTCTGCTCCTCCAGGGGGGAGCTGTGGGTCCAGGCCAGGGGCAAGTGGGTGGGCACCGCCTTTCGGTCTGGGTACACACACAAACAGCACTGACTCCATATGTGATCCAGGTGTTTTTGTTTTTTTTGTTGTACAGTAGTTTTAGGCTTTCACAGGTCTTTATTTATAAACGATCAGCCTTGCTACAACTAACTGAACTGGACAAGGAAAAATTAGAAGAAGTTGCATTAAAAATAACATCTCTACCTTATTAAATCAACCCTCTTATTTCATTAATGTAGCCAGGCATGTCCGATGAACGGCTCCATTAAAGTCAAAACAAAGAGAGCTACATTGATCCCATAATGAAGCCACATTATGTCTTTAAACCACAAGGCTAGCAAAGCAACTTAACTTGTCTCAAGAGACTGAGATCACAAAACAAAATCCTTAAAAAATTAGAGCATAGAAAACTTTTTTTCAGCAGGGAGGTTTGATCATTTCAGTGGTGTCGGCTCATTTAAAATGCTGCTGCCAGCATCTTGACCAATGTCAGGAAAATGGATCCAAATACACCAGTCCTCCAATCGTTGCATCGGCACCTTGTTTGTCAAAAGATGGAATGTAAAATTTTATTGGAGGGTCTATAAGAATCTAAATGGCTCCTTATAAAGACCTTAATACATTCAGGTTTTCATAGACCACCCACTAAGGTCGTCCCATGGTTGGAAAAACAGTACTTAGAGCCAGTGGGAAAATGCTATTTGCGTCACTTTGTGCCATGCAAATGAATCCAAATAGTTCTGTCCCCTTCAGCTAAGTGTTGCTGTTATTTTGTTGCTGTTATTGATATGAAACAATGAATATCTTTCAACTCAAACTTAACTACTGCTATATATAATGGCCTCATTATACATCTCATAGAAACATGAGTGCGCCATGTTTTTGTCGGTGCTGAAGTGTGTTTCCTGTTAGGCCAGAAGCTCTCGGAGACCAATGAGGGCTTTGTGAAGGTGCGTTTGTTCACGATCATAGAGGCACTGTACTCTCTGGCAGTATCTGGCACCAAAACCAGCCCACTCCAGCTGCAGTGGACTCATGCCAAATCGGTTCACAAACACACACACTATACACACCACCCCACCCACAAACACTTTCCCCAGACTGATCTACTCTTTTCATCCTTCAAACAGCTTTTTGTTTGTCCTCGGGAATTAATTTAGTGCTTCTGAAGGCTTTTGTAAAGCCCTATAAAAAAGGCCTGCGGACATGTGACTATGGCAACATACCTTGATAGAAGCGTCCGCTCGGGTTTTTGGTAGCAGCCTCGGAGATGGCAAGCCACACCACTGTGTCGGCCCCCTGGTCTGGGGTCCGGAGGCTATCCTTCATGGAGCGATGGAAGTCCGGCATCGCATTGGCCACTGCTGCAACAGATAGATACAAATACAGAACACATAGATGGCAATGGTGATTGGTTGTCAGCGCACAGGTGGAAAATGGATGCTCAAAGTTCTTAGTGGGTGAGTTAACCTGGAGTGTTCACCCAGCCTGGATGCATGACGGAGAAGTGGATGTTAGCGTGAGTCTTTGCCAGCTGCTCTGTCATCACCACCTGCTGCCTCTGGAAGACAAACGCGTTTGCATGTTTGTTAAAGTAACGAACCATGCTGGTTACCATAACCCAGATCAATTTACTGCACTGATGATGGACTTGTCAGAGGTTTCCAAAGCTCAAGAATGACAAAGACTGAAAGGTTAACTCTACAACAGTGGAAGCATTTAGAGAAGCTAATCAGGAAGGTGCAGGTGGTTGGAGACAGAAGGACTCTTGCTGAAATAACATCACTGATGGAGAGTGTCTCCCCGTCTACATGAAGATGTTGCTGAAACGGAGAGCACAAAGGAGCATTGTCGTAGATTCTTCCTCCCAGTAGCTGTTAGACTTTATAACCAACAAACTCCCAGCTAAGTCAATAAGTGTTCAAGGTTTTGCATAGTTTGGACTGATTCTGAGTAACATTCCTGTTGGAAACTGCACATCTTTGCTGTTGCAGTTTTTATTGTCACTAATTGTAAATCTTTTAATGCTCAAATATACCTGCACATTTCTAACATTTTTAAATCAATATATTCAACTAAACATCTCTTTGGCCCAGAATACTAGAACTGCATAATAATTTTTAAACATTTTGGCCTTTACAGTACACTATTCATCCTGTTTATATTGTATGTTTGAGTGAACCTACTTGTTTTGATCATCTGTCTCTGTGCTGCTGTGGCCAGGAAATTTACCCATTATGGCTCAATAAAATTAATCTCTATTGTATTTCATAAACTTCAGATCTTTACTAAAGGCCAAGCAGTAAAATTAGTTACTTTATCGTTTTATTATACTGATTTGATATGTTTTTAAGCAGTTTACATCTGTTTTATTTTATCTTGTCAAAATAGCATACTCAGTGCATACGCAATTATATATACAGTATACAGTGGATGACAAGAGTAGAAACCCCTGTTAAAGTGCCAGATTTTTTATTACAAAAGAATAAAACCATGTTAAATCAATTACATCTTTTCATCTAAACTAAAATGACAATTTGCTACAGGAAAAATACACCACATTTAAAAATAACACCTTTTAATTCAATATTGGCTGCAAGAGTTCATTGGAGAACCAGATCTGAAACTGGTTCTGTGATTTATAAAGACATTTAGTTTCGCTCTGGGGTTACTGAAGTAATTTTATTAGAATTTTAACAGAATTATGGAGGAGGGTTGTAGGAAAGTAGCACTGTGCATAACCAACAGTGAAACATGGCTTTGGTACATAATGCTTTGGCCTGCCTTTATTCAGACTTTAGATTTCATTGTCCCAAAGGGAAAATTCTTCTCCACAAACCAGTCCCTGCACTCCCACATTTTTTTATCTTAAAATAATGTAAAATTATATTGAACTATTAGAATCCTAAAGTAAATGCATTTCCTTTTATATTTAGCATCAGAGCTAGCCTCGCTGCTTAACTATATAAACAGAAAATGTGTGAGGTCCCCTAAAGGACAAGAAGCACTCTTCCAATCTGACAGATTTAGAGAACATTTGCAAAACATATTAAACACAAAGTTATAGATCAACAAGGCAATCAGTTTATATTTTGACAATTCACCAGCAACATTATGCCGTCATCTCTTAATAGAAAACTGTGAAAAAAGCTCCCATGTCAATGGTGTAATCATTTTCTTTAGCTTGATAAATGATAAAGATAGTGAACAGCTGCGATATCATCAGTGACTGTGGCTTACATTTCTAAAAGAATAAATGAATATCAGTGCTGTGTGTTACAGTGGTTGTGTTGAGAGCATCTGCAGAGCCTCAAACCTGTCGGATGACACTGATCTGCAGGTTACAGTGCTCAGCTCTTACTTTGTGCTGGGCGTAGACCATGGTTCCATCAAATCGCCCTCTGTCAGACTGCAGGTTTCCTATCCTGAGCTTCTGCACCAGCATCCCACCCGATGACACTGTGATCTGCACACAGGAACAAAGAGAAAGGCTCAGAGCTCACGTTCAAGTGAGCTGAGGTGCAATCTTTAATATTCAGATTATTGATTATTCACTTTGTAGTGTGTCAAGTATTGAAAATCTTTTCTAGCAAAAACAAAAAACAAAAAGACAGATGTGGCTGCAAATTGTTTTTTTAATAAAAAAATGTCTGCTTTATTAAGATTCTAGTCAAACTCACCACTCTGGGATCTGTGCTCTTCTCCAGGAGGGGAATCAGACTCTTGGTCAAAATGTACACCCCTGGAAATTGACAGAATGTTCCATAACTATCCCATCTCAACATTGTCCCCACGCCTCATGCTCAACCTTTGACATACCGAGGACGTTGACAGCGAAGCTCTTCTCCAGTCCTTCGGCGTTCACATCCCGCTGACTCATGATGGAACCTGCATTATTGATCTGAGTAGATTAAAATGAATAAGGTCATTATTTGCTGGGAATAAAAAGAGAGATCTGACATTGTGAAGTTGTATTACCAGCACATTGAGAGCCTTGAACTTCCTCTTGAAGCCCTCGGCAAACTCCCACACCTTCTTTGTCTCAGACAAGTCCAGGATATGGACATAGATTTCCTGCAAAAGAGTCAGCCGTTTGGGAAGATATCATACTAGAAATTGATCTGTG